CGTCGTCTGAGGAGGATGCTTCCTCCTCGGAAGCAGATGAATGGAGTTGCGCACGGGAACTTTTATTTAAGTCTGATTCTGAAGGTAAATTAAATATCCGACAGTGATCATTACACAGTATGGCTCTAATTCCTCACTTCACCATCTGTGTTGCAGTTTCACGTCTCCAAAGTGAGCGTACGCATGGGTCAGAGCTGGCGTGAGGCACCGCACATTTTCACGTCAAGTTTGGATTTTATAAATCACAACCTTGGCGTAAAAAGTGGCGTACGCAAGTTTCTGGGCTCAAATTGTGCGTACGCCAGTTTTATAAATCCGACCCCAGGTCTGACAAGAGGAGGACACAGGCAGAAACAGGAAGCCACTGGAGCTTTTTAACAACTTCTGGATGCTAACTAAGACAGTCACAACTTCTAACCCTGTTTTTTTTAAGTCTTTTACTAATAGTGCTTTGGGCTAAAAAGTCTTGGTTGTTTTAGTCAATAATGTTTGAAAATAAGGTTAATCTTATGTAAGAGATCCCACTAAGAGTGACTCTCAGATACTAGCACATTTCATTTTGATTCATATTCTGTTAAATTAAGTTATAGTAGTTTTCGAATTGGCTAATGTCAACTTATTTTGGCAGCCATCTTGATTTTGATTGATTCCAAAAGTGAATCAGTTCTAAAAGTAGACTCAACAATTACTTTTTGAGAGTTTCATTAAAATATGTCCAGTGGTTCATGAGATATTTTTCTAACAGACAGGTGGAGTTGACTCCAATAGTTAAAGGCAACACATTAAACAAAGCTCTTGTGCAATCTGTTCACGCTTAGAAAATGTGCTGGGGATCAGGCACAGCTACCGACACACCAAATTTTAGCTCAGTAAATTTAAATTTGACTGAATTTTAGCCATATTTATGTTTTTTAAAATCAGTTAGCTGAGTGGGACATTTTGAGTTGGGTTGAATTCAAAAGTTAAATAGTCGTAGAGGCACATCCAATAATTTACTTCTAAAAGTTTTAATAAAATCTATCAAGTGGTTCACAAGATATTTTGCTAACAGAGAGAGTTTGGCAAAAATGTTACGATTCATTTTTTGCCTCTCCTTGGCTCACTATAACCAGCTATCACAGGTTTAGATTATGCTACTTGTTCTGGGCTATTCTTTATTTATTCTGAAAACCTAAATTATATTTTAAAACCATATTACAGCAAATTACATTCCCTACAGTAAAACAGAAATATGAAATAAACACATTTGGCCATCCTAATCAGCACCAGCTCTACTCACAGTCTTGGAAATAATTCCATGCTTGTTAATAAGTTTGAAAAATAAATAATTTCTGTAAAAAAATAATAATTTTGAACTCGTCACCCTTGGCCTATAAAACTCTGTGTCCTGTCTGTTAGAAGAATAGCTCTAGCAGCACATCCATTATTACTGCAGCCTTATATTGGATATAAATAACTCTCAGACACAACACTCTCAGGTACACTCAGGCTCTGACGGAGAGACATTCGCAGCGAGACGGTGAGGTAACGAGCACTGTGAGCAACGCTGGAATATAGATTTTAAAAAAGCAGAAAAATTCCCTCTCGTCTGAACAGTACATTATATTAAATGCAATGATCCTGAGAAAACATTTTTTTTACTTCTTTTAAGTTGAGATATACTCATTTTACATATGTCATATGTCTTTTCCTCAAATCTGAATGTTTTAACAAGAACGTCATTTTAGACAATAAGAAAATATTTGTGATAATTGTGATCTTAAAGATAACTTGCAAAGATAATCTCCCTGCTGTGCAGCTTTTAAACAGTAGGGGGCGCCAATGAGTGTCTGAGACGTTCACATTTCTAGTTTTGTTACAATAAACACAAAATAAATCTAAAAGCAGCACAGTACTGAATGTTAAATCAAAATTAAATGAATAGTTCCAAATAGTGATATTAATCTTGCACAAATCCTAACCTAAATGCTACTTCAATTTTTTTATTTGCAAAGGATTTAATTGGCATGTGCAACCTGTGCCGGTAAATGAATCAATACAGTATTTTTTTTTTAGTTTATTTTGACATTCTCTATCTCTAGTTTTAAAATGATATGTAGTTTAGTGGTTTATCATCTGGTCTGGCAACAAGCTAGTAGATAATACAACTTATTATACGTAGGGATTTCCAGGAACTGCAGCAGCTGGAGGGAGAAACGATGAAAGAAAATATAAATAAATGTTATAAGACAAAGGATTATTTCTAAAGACACATATCTGTAATACTTTTAAAAAGTGTCAGGAATATTTTCTGCTATTTTAGTTACTGAGATCACAGGATGGTGTTCTCATTGTCTCGTTTTTATTCAGTTATCTGCTGCTGGGCTCATTCTGACTCAGTTTGCCAACATAGATTCCATGTTTGGTAAAACAAGTCGAGAACGCATTCAGAAAACTGAAAGCAACTTAAATCAAACACAGAGCTAAGAGGGGAAATATAACAATCAGACATGACGTATCAGAAGTTGCAGCTTTTTAGAAAATCTGGACTAATTACCCTCAGTGACCACAGAGTGTTGTTTTCTGTTGAGCCAAAAACAAACTAACATGTTTTTAACAAACAGACAGATTTTTAATGCAAAACCTTTTTGCTGTTGAAATCTGAAGGAAATTAAGGCCATTAGGCTAATCTGGTTGGATTTGTCTGTCTGATAAGGTTGTGAGATTTCATAATAAAGTACAGGGACATTGCACAAATCTTATTTTTTAGCAATCATTTCCTGCTATTGTCTCAGACTTAAACCGGCACCACAGACTCAGTTCAGACCCAACTAATTATCCTTTTATGGTGTCTTTGTGTTCAGGCTGAAGGAAACAACAGGAGGGTGTTTCAGGAAAACTCCACCAAGGCCTAAAAATGCCTCAGAAGCAAAATGAGCTCAGATTCAGTCTGAATGCATACATACATACATACATACATACAGTACATACAGTACATACATACATACATACATACAGTACATACAG